ATGTCACAATCGCGCGGTCGAGGGTTGTGGTTATTTCTTTTGGTTCGTAAGTACATTGCCATTGGTTTCTAGTCTATAACTTTTGATTGAGAAGTCTGATCGAAAAACTACGAATTGTTTTGGATTCTACGCACCAAAATTAATAAGAAAAAGTGTTTTCCCGAGAAATTTTGGTGCAGTCGATTTTTGATAAAAAAGGAAGGTTTTACACTGCCTTTTTTTGAGGCCCGAAAAAAAAATTGTCTCAGATCGACCCGGAAAAAAATTTTCTTATAGAATGTGGCCTGTAGAATCCATAATTTCAAACAGTTCCAAGATTGGGCCACTAGTTCAAAAGTTACAGCCCTTTGAATTTTTTTTCGAAATTGGTTTCTAGTCTATAACTTTTGATTGAGAAGTCTGATCGAAAAAGTTCGAATTGTTTTGGATTCTACGCACCAAAATTAATAAGAAAAAGTGTTTTCCCGAGAAATTTTGGTGTAGTCCATTTTTGGTAAAAAAGGAAGGTTATACACTGCCTTTTTTAGAGACCCGAACAAAAATTGTCAAAGATCGACCCGGAAAATAAATTTTCTTATAGAATGAGGCCTGTAGAATCGATAATTTCAAACAGTTCCATGATTGGGCCACTAGGTCAAAAGTTACAGCCCTTTGAATTATCTTTCGAAATTGGTTTCTAGTCTATAACTTTTTATTGAGAAGTCTGATCGAATAAGTACGAATTGTTTTGGATTCTACGCACCAAAATTAATAATAAAAAGTGTTTTCCCGATAAATTTTGGTGCAGTCAATTTTTGGTAAAAAAGGAAGGTTATACACTGCCCTTTTTGGAGGCCCGAAAAAAAAATTGTCTCAGGTCGACCCGGAAAATTAATTTTCTTATAGAATGAGGCTTGTAAAATCCATAATTTCAAACAGTTCCAAGATTGGGCCACTAGGTCAAAAGATACAGCCCTTTGAATTTTCTTTCGAAATTGGTTTCTAGTCTATAACTTTTTATTGAGAAGTCTGATCGAATAAGTACGAATTGTTTTGGATTCTACGCACCAAAATTAATAATAAAAAGTGTTTTCCCGAGAAATTTTGGTGCAGTCAATTTTTGGTAAAAAAGGAAGGTTATACACTACCCTTTTTAGAGGCCCGAAAAAAAAATTGTCTCAGGTCGACCCGGAAAATAAATTTTCTTATAGAATGAGGCTTGTAAAATCCATAATTTCAAACAGTTCCAAGATTGGGCCACTAGGTCAAAAGATACAGCCCTTTGAATTTTCTTTCGAAATTGGTTTCTAGTCTATAACTTTTTATTGAGAAGTCTGATCGAATAAGTACGAATTGTTTTGGATTCTACGCACCAAAATTAATAATAAAAAGTGTTTTCCCGATAAATTTTGGTGCAGTCAATTTTTGGTAAAAAAGGAAGGTTATACACTGCCCTTTTTGGAGGCCCGAAAAAAAAATTGTCTCAGGTCGACCCGGAAAATTAATTTTCTTATAGAATGAGGCTTGTAAAATCCATAATTTCAAACAGTTCCAAGATTGGGCCACTAGGTCAAAAGTTACAGCCCTTTGAATTTTTTTTCGAAATTTATTTTTTGTCCATAACTTTTTATTGAGAGGTCTAATCGAAAACGTACGAATTGTTTTGAATTCTACGCACCAAAATTAATAAGAAAAAGTGTTTTCCCGAGAAATTTAGGTGCAGTCGATTTTTGGTAAAAAAGGAAGGTTATACATTGCCTTTTTTTGAGGCCCGAAGAAAAATTGTCTCAGATCGACCCGGAAAAAATGTTCTTATAGAATGTGGCCTGTAGAATCCATAATTTCAAACCGTTCCAAGATTGGGCTACTAGTTCAAAAGATACAGCCCTTTGAATTTTTTTCGAAATTTGTTTTTTGTCCATAATTTTTTATTGAGAGGTCTAATCGAAAACGTACGAATTGTTTTGTATTCACGCACCAAAATTAATAAGAAAAAGTGTTTTCTCGAGAAATTTTGGTGGCGTCGATTTTTGGTTAAAAATGGAAGGTTATACACTGCCTTTTTTGAGCCCCGAAAAATAAAAATTGTCTCAGATCGACCCGGAAAAAACATTTTCTTATAGAATGTGGCCCGTAGAATCCATAATTTCAAACAGTTCCAAGATTGGGCTACTTGTTCAAAAGTTACAGCCATTTGAATTTTTTTTCGAAATTGGTTTCTAGTCNCTAACCTAACCTCACTAATGATTTAATCTAACCTTCAATCTCCTGGCACATTATATTCTCCTGATACCAGATTTTTGAGCTAACCTAACTACCACCCTAACCTAACCTCACTAAAATTTTATTTTAACTTTCAATCTCCTCGCACATGATATTCTCCTGATAGCAGATTTTTGAGCTAACCTAACTACCACCCTAACCTAACCTCACTAAAATTTTATTTTAACTTTCAATCTCCTCGCACATTATATTCTCCTGATACCAGATTTTTGAGCTAACCTAACTACCACCCTAACCTAACCCCACTAAAACTCTGACAGAGATAGAAAAAGACCTCTTCGTACATTATGTTCTCCTAATAGCACGGCACCTTTGCATAAGTTTTTCGACACGTAACAGGTGTAGTATTAGGAAAAGAAACACCTCCTCGCACTTATATGATCCTGATACAGAATTGGCAAATTTTTAAATCGAATGAAAGCTTTGAAATAATTCTGACAGTGCTAGAAAGAGACCTCTTCGTACATTATGTTCTCCTAGTAGCACGACACCTTTTGCATAAGTTTTTCGAAAAGTAACAGGTGTAGTATTAGGAAAAGAAACACCTCCTCGCACTCATATGATCCTGATACAGATTTGGCAAATTTTTAAATCGAATGAAAGCTTTGAAATAATTCTGACAGAGCTAGAAGAAGACCTCTTCGTACATTATGTTCTCCTAGTAGCACGACACTCTTTGCATAAATTTTTGTATAAGTAACAGGTGTAGTATTAGGAAAAGAGACACCTCCTCGCACTCAAATGATCCTGATACAGATTTGGCAAATTTTTAAATCGAATGAAACCTTTGAAATAATTCTGACAGTGCTAGAAAAAGACCTCTTCGTGCATTATGTTCTCCTAGTAGCACGACACCTTTGCATAAGTTTATCGACAAGTAACAGGTG